TCTACCCATTTATTTTTGCAGGTACCGGTCTACTTATTTGTTTGCTTTTAACACTGATCAGCTGTAGGGCAGCCCTTTGAAGCCCTGCGGCAAGAGTTTAAACAGTTTTTTTCCCTCTAGCCATCAGCTGGGACTCAGGAGGCAGCAATAGATTGGGGGTGGGGCCAAATAAAAGGTAAGAATAACGCGGGGGGTGGTAAGGATGCACAGAACCAGTTCGGTGATGTCATATCATCACCGCTACCGGTTCGGCCGAACCGGGAGGAACCCACCACTGAATCATTCCCATCATCAAGGGTTGAAGATAAGCCGACAAGTCAATATGAAAGCTACGGTAGCGATTGGCTTTCCGGAGAGATGGAAGGACAAGCGTACGATCTCCAAAGCTGGCCTGGTTAGGACACGGCATGGTTTCAAACCAAGGAAGGTTGCAAAGCTCACGCTACAACTGCCCGGGATGACCAACAAAAATGGCCGCGCCCAGCTTACCGCAAGCCAGGAGCGACGCGGGGGAGCGGAGGACGCCCAGGCCGCGCGAAGAAAAGTTCTTGCGGCTTACGATAGCTTCAGCGAACATTCAACGCTGTCGGTGAGTTTGGTCCTTCAGGAGAAACCACCGATCGTTGACTGTACCTTGAGGTTTATCACAATCCTCGGAAAAACGCCTCCGGGCAGACAATCCACCGGACGGGTTGTGATGCGTGAAGAAGGAAAACTCACCCAAAAAAAAGGCTGAAAGGCCTATGGAGATTCTCAGTCCCTCCAGGTCGCGGTTGTCCCAAAGGAGATTTTTTTCAGGAGGCAACTGGGCTTTCTGGTTTTTTTCTTTGAAGAGGTTTCGCTTCTCATCCGAGAAGCTTCTTCGGCTCTGACTTGGGATGGTGGCGGGGTTTTCTTGCAGACGTTTTATTACCTAGCTAAGTAACATCATCGGTGTTAGAGGGAGTGAGATTGGGAGGAGGAGGAGGAGGAAGCAATGATCTAGCACTGATGAAGGTTGTTTTTTTTTAATTTGATTTATATGCTACCCTTCTCCGGAGACTCAGGGCGGCTTACAGTGCGTTAAGCAATAGCCTTCATACTTTTGTATATTTTTTATACAAAGTCAGCTTATTGCCCCCACAAACTGGGTCCTCATTTTACCAACCTTAGAAAGGATGGAAGGCTGAGTCAACCTTGAGCCTGGTGAGATTTGAACTTACAGTAATTGCAGGCAGCTGGTATTAATCACAATGCTATCAGTCTGCTGAGCAACCAGGCCCTTGAGTTCCCTAGTTGGGTCATGAAACGTCTGCAAGAAAACAAGTGAGCTCACAGAGCACCAAGGACCCCACAATCCTCCTCCTCCTCCTCCTCCCTTGTAGCACTGATGATGTTACCCAGTTGGGTAACGAAACGTCCTTAAGAAAACAGGCAAGCTCAGAGAGCACCAAGGACCCCCTCATTTCTTGTTCCTCTTTGAAGGCGTTTCACTTCTCATCTAAGAAGCTTCTTCGGGAAGCTGAAGAAGCTTCTGGGGATGAGAAGCGAAACGCCTTCAAAGAAAAACCAAGGAAGTCCAGTTGCCTCTTGGGGGAAAAAAAGCAAAAAGCTCAAACAGACCCCTGTCGCTTCTCGAACCCAATGCCTGAGTCATCCCGAGGGGACCCCTTGCTCAGAAATAATGGCTGCACTCAACATTCATTGCTGTCGGTGGGTTTTGGGTTTGGTCAGCCCTCTGGCTAATGAATGCAAACTGCGGATCAAACAGCACCCAGACGGAGGCTGGACACCCCACTGTGACCCAGGACCTTAGCAAGACCACACCTAGAATCCTGCATCCGGTTTTGGTCCCCACACTATAAAAAAGATGTGGAGACCCTAGAAAGAGTGCAGAGAAGAGCAACCAGGGTGATGAGGGGACTGGAGGCTCAAACATACGATGAACGATTGCAGGAACTGGGCATGGCTGGTCTAGTGAAGAGAAGGACCAGGGGAGACAGGAGAGCATCTTCCAACATTTGAGGGGCTGCCACAGAGAGGAGGAAGGGGGTCAAGCTATTCTCCAAGGCACCTGAAGGCCAGAGAAGGAACAATGGATGGAAACTGACCAAGGAGAGATTCAACCTGGAAATAAGGAGAAATTTCCTGACAGTGAGAACAATCAACCCATGAAACTAAAAGTTGCCTTCGGAGGTTGTGGGAGCTTCATCACTGGAGGCTTTCAAGAAGAGACCAGACTGCCATCTGTCAGAAATGGTGTAGGGTTTCCTGCTTGGGCAGGGGGTTGGACTAGATGACCCACAAGGTCCCTTCCAACTCTGTTAAATCTCCTCCATCAGGCCCAAGTATCCTCGGCCTTGACAAATGCAAACATCCAGACACACACAAAGCAGATAATCCTTACCACTTACGACCACAACTGACCTAAAATTTTCGGTTGTTTAAGCGAGGCGTTTGATAAGGGAGTTATGCCCCGTTTTACGACCTCTCTGGCCACCGTTGTTATGTGAATGGTGGCCATTGTCAGATTAGCATCATGCAGTTTAAGTTAAACCCGCCTTCCCCTTTGACTTTGCTTCTCAGAATCGAAACGCAAAAGGTGAATTACGATCGGTTTTAAGTCTTTTCTTAGATGCACTCGACTTACGACCAGTTGAGCCCAAAATTTCTGTTGTTAAGTGAGACATTTGCTAAGGGAGTTTTGCCCTATTTGACGACCGTTCTCACCACGGTTGTTAAGTGAATCACTGCAGGTGTTAAAATTAATCATCGGGTTTGTTACGGGAATGTTGCTTCCCCATCAGTGCTGTTTGTCAGAAGGTCACAAAAGGGGAAATGGCGGGGACCCGGGGAAATGGCGACCGTCATAAATATGAATCCCTTGCCAAGCGTCTGAATTTCGATCATATGACCACGGGGAGGCTGCAACGGGTCGTAAGCGTGGAAACAGCCATATGTCCCTTTTTTCAGTGCCTTTACAACTTCGAGCGGACACGAAGCGAGTAAGTCAAGAACTACCTGCGTTCTGCTTCTAACACAACGTAGCTGTTGTGCAGAGGGAGCAATCCTGAGCATCCCAAAAGACAGATTGAGAGATCAACAGAGTCGGAAGGGACCTTGGAGGTCATCTAGTCCAGCCCATCCGCCCAAGCAGGAGACCCTACACCATTTCTCACAGATGGCAGTCCAGGCTCTTCTTGAAAGCCTCCAGTGATGAAGCTCCCACAACTTCTGTTCCATGGATCGATTGTTCTCATTGTCAGAAAATTTCTCCGTATTTCTAGGTTGAATCTCTCCTTGGTCAGTTTCCATACATTGTTCCTTGTCTGGCCTTCAGGTGCTTTGGAAAATAGCTTGACCCCCTTCCTCCTCTCTGTGGTAGCCCCTCAAATATTGGAAGATGCTATCCTGTCTCCCCTGGTCCTTCTCTTCACTAGACCAGCCAGGCCTGGTTCCTGCAACCGTTTATTGTATGTTTTAGCCTCTAGGCCTTTGATCATCTTAGATAGATTCAGATTTGGAAGGGACCTTGTAGGTCATCTAGTCCAACCCCCCATCCAAGCAGACCCTACACCATTTCTGACAGAGGGCAGTCCAGTCTCTTCTTGAAGGCTTCCAGGGATGAAGCTCCCACAACTTCCAAAGGCAACTTCAGTTCCATGGGTTGATTGCCCTGTCAGAAAATTTCTCCTAATTTCCAGGTTGAATCTCTCCTTGGTCAGTTTCCATCCATTGTTCCTTGTCTGGTGCTTTGGAAAATAGCTTGACCCCCTTCCTCCTCTCTGTGGCAGCCCCTCAAATATTGGAAGATGCTCTCCTGTCTCCTCTGGTCCTTCTCTTCACTAGACTAGCCATGCCCAGTTCCTGCAACCATTCATCGTATGTTTGAGCCTCCAGTCCCCTAATCCTCTTGGTTGCTCTTCTCTGCACTCTTTCTAGAGTCTCAACCTCTTTTTTATAGTGTGGGGACCAAAACTGGATGCAGTGTGACCTGACTAAGATTTTATGGAGCCTTTAGCCTTTATAGACAGTTAAGAATGGTAGGTTTTGGTCTGGACCAACCTCTTCAGGAAGGCGCAAACCTCAGCTCGCTCTTGCTAACTTCTGAATGGGAAGGCAAGGGGTGACTTTTGAGAGCCAGCTCCCCAAAATTTCTAGGGGATTTGGGGGTTCCTCATAAGGAGGTCATTCTCTGCCAATCAAAAGAGCCCTTGAAACAATCCCTAAACCTTGATTTGACGCCAGGGGAGAAGCAACCAAAATGGGTAGACTCTGGATACTGCCCTCTAGTGGATAGTCAGGTGAAAGGTGGCCGCTATCTGAACAAAATTCAGGCGTTTGGCCACGGTCTCATATTTATGACAGTGACAGTGTCCCAGGGGTCATGTGATTCCCCTTTTGCAACCTTCTCACAAGTCAAGTCAACGGGGAAGCCAAAGTCCACTTAACAACCAAGTTTCTAATTTATGAACTGCAGGGATTCGCTTAGCGAGAAAAGCCGTATAACGGGGACAAAAGTCACGGAACAAATGTCTCACTGAACGACAGAAATGTTGGGCTCAGTTGATGTCAGGGGTGGGATTCAACCCATTCGGACCCGTTTAACCCAAACCGGATGTTAATTTTAATCTGGTTCGCCGAAACAGTTGTTACAAGAACTGGCTGACCCCGCCCACCCCGCCCCTCCCCTCCCAGGAGTCTCCACGCGGCCCGTTTTGGATGCCACGTAAGTGCAGGGACCGTATGGAGGCTTTAGGAGGGCGAAAAACGGACCTACCAGAAGTACTGGAAATCCGGAAACAGGCCTGTTTCTGGCCTCTTGAGCCTGGGGGAGGCTGTTTTAGCCCTCCTGGAGGCTCGAGAAAAGCCTCCGGAGCCTGGGGAGGGTGAAAATGCCCCACCCACTCCCAGCGTCCCCACTGGAATATAAGCCAAAAATTAGCATTTCTGTTGAGGGCTGACTCTCCTCCCCTGGTAAGAGCAATCACTCGATACCTTAAAAGAATGATGGCAATACGAGCCAGTAATATCAAAAAAGTTTTTTATCGATTGTAAGGAAGATGAGCTCAGTTAGAGAGGAGCTATCCTATTTGGGTTATCTAGTCTTGGCAACTTAGCTATTGAAATTTGATATTGTAAAATTTTAATGTCATCTATCATATATTTTTAGATTGCTATTTTTGTAACTGTTTTATCTTTTTCCCTTTTTCTTTTCTGTTTTGTTTGAAAAGGCCTTCGGGCTATTCAATAAACTATACTATACCATACCACTCCCAGTGTGGTACAGGAAGTGAGTAGGCCACGCGCATCCAGCAACCAGGTAGCAAACCAGTTGCTGAAATTTTTCAGTCACCCCCCTTATTGCGGTAGTAAATTGGGGATTACCTGCAGATGGGTACAGAGGGGGGAACCAAGAGGACACCTCCTCCCCTCCCAAAAAAACCCGTTTTAGAGAAAGTCGGACTTACTGCCGGCGTTCAAGAGAAGCACGGAAGGAGGGGCGTTCATCTGTTCAACATCTGCAGCTGGGAAGAGAGAAAAGAAAGAAAAGAGAGTTAAGACGCGTTTGGGGGAAAAAAAATTAAGATTTTTGTTGAACAGGTATAGAGAGCTGCATTGTTTACCGTATTTTTCGGACTACAAGACACACCTAAATTTAGAAGAGGAAAACAAAAACAAAAACAAAAGTTTTGGACTCCCATTTTTCGGGCCTTTTGCAGCTTTTTTTCCAGCCCGTTTTCGGGGATTTTTCTGGCCCGCTTTTAAGGCTTTTCTCGGCCTGTTTTTTTTGGAAATATATAAAATATATCCCCAAGATTTATATTCGGATGCTTGACAACGGACTCGCATTTATGACAGTTGCGCTATCCCGGGGGTCAAGTGCTCCCGTTTGGCGACCGTCCGACAAGTGAAGTTCATTTAACAACCGTATGAATGGTTAAGACGAGAAACGTCGTAACACGAGGCAGGCAAAAAACTCCCTTGACCAATGTCTCATTTAGCCACGTAAATGTTGGGGCTCAACTGGGGTTATAGGTCGAGGATTATGGCTGTGCCACCTGATGGAAGATTTAAATTATTTTAGATTTTATTGAACTTCTATACCGCCCTTCTCCCAAAGGACTCAGGGCGGTGTACAGCCATATTAAAACACATATAAACCACAAAATTTAAGAACAATTTAAAACAAATATATAAAATTTGGCCCACGAAATTAAAAACTAACAAACACCCAATTTAAAAGCACCTTAAGATGTTTGCAAGGCGCGCATGTGCTGATATGCGAGTCAAAAAATGGGTCGCGACTTGCCGAACGGAGCTGCCAGAACTAGCCCCATCATCCTTGGCCACAGAAGGGCCAGCGAGGATCCAAAAGCGCCATTACAAACTGGGGAGGTTCGGCCTGCAAACTTTACACCAACTTTACACCGGCACAAGTCCGGTCCGGATACCCCCGAGCACTTGCGGAGGGGGGGGCGGAGAGGCATAGGCCAGTGGTGGGTTCCTCCCGGTTCGGCCGAGCCGGTAGCGGTGACAATATGACGTCACTGAACTGGTTCTGTGCATCCCTACCCACCCCCCGTGTTATTCTTACCTTTTATTTGGCCCCACCCCCAATCTATTGCTGCCTCCTGAGTCCCAGCTGATGACTAGAGGGAAAAAAACTGTTTAAACTCTTGCCAAGGGGCTTCAAAGGGCCGCCCTACAGCTGATCAGTGTTAAAAGCAAACAAATGAGTAGATCAGTGCCTGCAAAAATACATGAGTAGATCAATGCCTGCAAAAATAAATGGGTAGACCAGTGCTTGCAAAAATACATGAGTAGACCGATGCCTGCAAAAATACATGAGTAGACCAGTACAGCTCTGCAAGCAGTTAAAAGCCTGGTAGACCAGTACCTCTGCTAAATCCTAAAGAATTGTCACATGACCATCAAGCCACGCCCATAAAATAAGCCACGCCCACAGAACCGGTAGTTTAAAAAATTAGAACCCACCCCTGGCGTAGGCCTATGAAAATGGGGGGGGGGGGCAACGACGAGGGGCAGGGGGAGAATGACCTGCCCTGGAGAGAAATTGGAAAGGACATCCCAATCAAAAACTGCTTGACCCGAGAGGACCAGCTGTTGCTGGCCGGGGCTCCTTGACCTTTGCCCTCTCCTCCGGCCACGATGTGAAGGGGGACGGCCAATTGTTGACCGGAGGCATTGTCTCGGCTTTTGAAAGGAATAAATAATCTAGCACGCTGAGCTGATGACCTTTTTCTGGGGAGGGGGGTTCTTTGGGGATGCAATCAAGCCCTGGGGTAGCTTTAAAGGGTGCCCCCTCTTTTATAGCCTAATTGGGTGCCATAACATAAATCAATTATTTCTCCTGTTTTAAGGGACAATGGGTGCCATTCTTCTCCGGCTCCCAGTTCCCTTCTCAGCCTTCTGGCTCAGTTCTTTTTGAGTTTTTACAGCTGTACGGTCAACAACGCAAGGAGAGGAGGAGGAGAAGAAAAGTCCGGCCACCACTGCAGAGTTGGGGGGCGAGGGGGCACACACCGCAGGGGAGGGGGGGAAAGTTGCCCCGGTCTGACCTTCTCCTGACCCGTGGCTGGCCTTGCCTCTGTTTATCCTCACCAAAATGGATTTTGGGGTGGGGGGGAGAGAGAGAGGGTCCTTCCTCCCCACCCCAGAAATGAACTTCGCCTGAACCTGCAGGAAAGGAGTTGACTTTGAAGGCCCCCCCCCAGGCGAGACCGTGACTTGGCCAACTTCTCAACTCTTCAGTGGCGCCTCAAAGGAAACCTGAGAAATATGGGGGGGAGAGGGGGGTTTAAAGACTACAACTCCCAGCATCCCTAGCCGGAAGCATCTGGGAAGACACCATCCCAGGGGTGAGATTCAGCAGGTTCGGGAAAACCGGTAGCGGAAATTTTGAGTAGTTTGGAGAACTGGTAAATACCACCTCTGTCTGGCCCCAGGAGTGGGGAGGGAATGGGGATTTTGCAATATCCTTCCCCCAGGAGTGGGGAGGGAATGGGGATTTTGCAGTATCCTTCCCCCAGGAGTGGGGAGGGAATGGGGATTTCGTTCCCAGAGTGGGGAGGGAGGGAGATTTGGGTATTTCCCCCGAGTGGGGAGGGAATGGGGATTTTGCCATATCCTTCCCCCAGGAGTGGGGAGGGAATGGATTTTGCAGTATCCTTCCCCCAGGAGTGGGGAGGGAATGGGGATTTTGCAATATCCTTCCCCCAGGAGTGGGGAGGGAATGGAGATTTTGCAATATCCTTCCTCCAGGATTGGGGAGGGAATGGAGATTTTGCAATATCCTTGAATCCACAACTCTCCGAACAAAAATTAACTAAAAATCCTGCTATTTGAAACAATTTAACCTAAGAACAAAAGGCACACCAGTCTAATCACCTGTGACTGAGTGAAAAGACTGGACATGCGCAGAAGAAAGGGGCGTGACCAGGCTGTAGAGGAAGTTTGAATGGCACCCAGTCAGTCCAATGACAGTGGATCTTAGCCCAATCGGTGGAATATCTGAGCAGCGAGGGAGGAAAATGGGAATTTTGCAGTATCCTTCCCCTGCCACGCCCACAGAACCGGTAGGGGAAAAAAATTGAATTTCATACCTGCACCATCCCCATCAGGTTGCAGAAAAGATATGGGACTGTCCGTTTTGAAGAACGGCGTTCGTCCTTTATGGAGCAAGGAGGAATAAGCAGCCGGACAAAAGGGGGGGGGGCGGAAAGAGGGGAGGGGCTCTCATAAGGAGCCTTGGTGGTGCAGCGGACTAAGTGCTGTTATGTAGCATTTAGCTGCCAGCTGCCTGCAATTATTGCGAGTTCAAATCTCCCCAGGCTCAAGGTTGACTCAGCCTTCCATCCTTTCGAGGTAGGTAAAACGAGGACCCGGATTGTGGGGGCAATAAGCTGACTTTGTAGAAACACCGCTTATGGGGGGCCAAAAGCCCTAATAAGCAGGTATATACAAAAAAAGAATGAAGGCTATTGCTATAAGTGCATTGTTAGCCATCCTGAGTCTTTGGAGAAGGGCGGCATATAAATTGAACTAATAAATAAATAAGTTTTGTTAATGTTCATCTTCCGAAGAGGGGAGGGTAGACAAGTTGGAAAGAAAGCATCTTCACACCTACCAAAGGGCGGGTCATGTTCGGCTGAAGGCTCTTGAGGGAACCCTGAAAGAGAAAAGAGACAGCCTTTTTTAAATATAAATGTTATTAATTTTCTATCAATCACATTTCTGAGCGCTTAATCAACATTGTGTCGTCTGGGTATTTAGTTCGATGAATGATACAGCTTTGCATTCTTCATCTCCACCAGAAGTGGGATTCACATACTTGTAGCAACCGGTTTGCCCAGCACCAGAAATGTGAGCATGCGTGTGCACTCACTTTGCGTGCACGCCATCCACGCGTGCGCAGTGCGTCACAAAACATGGCAATTCACTTGTGCGCACCATCCGCACACCCGTGCGGTGTCAAACACGGCAATTTGCCCGCACATGCATGCACCGTTAAAAAACACAAGCGATATAGGACGGGATTGCGCTACCAGTTCGCACGAACCGATCAAACCGGCTGAATACGAACCTCTAATCTCCACCCCTTTTTTTCCAACCGCTGATAAAATAAATTCCATGTTTGACAATATTGTGTGTCTTCGTTCCGTTTAATTTTAAGTCTATCCATTTCTGCACAATCTACTATCTTCCTAATTATCTCTCCGTCTCGCGGTGTTTCTCCGTTTTTCCAAATATAAGACAGGGTCTTATTTTCGGGGAAACACAGTATACTTTGCTTATCAAGTTTTTCTGGTATTATGCCTAATAAAAACAGTCCAGGTTTAAAAATCTATGTTTCCGTATCACCTTTTCATTTCACCTGTGTATTTTTGCCCAACGTTTTTTTGCTTTAGCACAAGTCCACCACATGTGATAAAATGTGCCCGGTTTTTGGTTACATTTCCCAACATAGCCTTATTGCTATAAACCGGGACTCATTTTTTTAACGCTGGCCTTAAAAGGGGGGGGGCTTCTGCCCAACTCGTCAAAGGAGACCATGGGCAAGACATCACTAGCCTTTTTGGGGTACAGGAAGGGTCCCCCCACCATCCTTCGCCTTCCAAAGTTGGCCACTTCTGGATGGAAGCGTAGGGTTGATCCCGGGCCAAACGAACGCAAAGGAGGCTCTGGAAACCCACTCACCCACCCACCCAGGACAGGGACCCTCTTCCAAGATATGATCCAGGCAAGTAAGCAAGCAGAAAATTGAGAGGACGCCCAACTCCTGGGACGGTTCTTGAGAGCTTGAGGTCTAAAGAAGTCCCACCTGCCCTTCCATACTAGCTGAAGATGCTGGTGAATCAATGCCAGGAAAGTCCCGCTGGCCACATTTTGAGGTGTGGGCCTGAAAGCAATCCAGGACCCCAATCCAGATGGGGTTCAGTCAGGGAGTCACCCTAGGATTGGCCAGCTCTTCAGGGAATCATACCAAGGACACTCTAGGACAGGGGTCTCCAACCTTGGCAACTTTAAGACTTGTGGACTTCGACTTCCAGAATAGTCGAAGTCCACAAGTCTTAAAGTTGCCAAGGTTGGAGACCCCTGCTCTAGGAAAGACCTTCTTCCCTATTAACCCATGACCAACCTTTGGGAAAGGCGTAAGGGTGGGGCTTCTGAACCCTGGGCAAACTATCCAAAATTAGATAAAAGTGGTCTTTCTTTGGGCCACAGTCCACCAACCCACGACCACCACCAGAGGGACGTTGAAATGGACTTAAAAAGATTGCCACAGTGTCCTGCGATATATTTGAAAATCTGCCAACATAAGATGAACTTAATCGATGAAAACAACCGCGGGGAAGGTGTGGGAAGGACGCGAAAATCATTCCACGCTGTCGTTTTTAGTCCTCGAGATATGAAGGGGTTGTTCTGTGACGCTTCAAAGTGAGGACAGTGCTAAAGGTAGAGACTTAAGGTAGGTCCTTGAAGCTTGGTAAGATTTTTCGGATGAGTAGTTTAAGGTAACGAAGAAAAAAAATTGGGAGAAACTGGGCTGGGGGCATATCGGGGCTGTTCAACCCTGGCCACTTTAAGACTTGTGGACTTCAACTTCCAGAATTCCATGCTGCCTGGGGGATTCTGGGAGTTGAAGTACACAGGTCTTAAAAGTGGTCAAAGTTGGACACCCCAACATAGCCCCTAACCCAGCCCTTCCCAAACTTTTTCCTTCCTTCCATGTTGCCTGAGGGATTCTGGGAGTTGAAGTCCACGGGCCTTAAAAATGGCCAAGGGTGGACTTCTCCAGATTATATCCTAAAGTCACACTATACCTCAGAAGATCCCTGGATCTCACTTAACTTATTTGGGGAGATGAAACGACTCCAAACGCTCGAGAAAATCAGCAATGGTTAAAAAAAAAATGGCAGCCGGACTCGTTCGGTCATCAGGGCACCAACTATGGAGAAAGCGACTCTCCACCGATCTTAGAAAGATTCCCGTCTCTTTCACCTTTCGCCGAGATAATTCAAGGAGATGCAGCGAGTTAATCAGACACCGCAGCGTAATCCCTGGGGAGATTACACAAACTTTTACAACCACAGTGTGGAGTGCGATGGCCAAACCAGGCCTAACCGGATTTGGGAAGGAATTTCTTTTGGTTTGAGTTTGGGATGGGGTGGGGAGAGAAAGGAAGGAAGGAAGGAAGGAGGGAGGGAGGGAGGGAAGAAAGAAAAAAGGAGGAAGGAAAGAAAAAAGAAAGAAAAAGAGAGGAAAAGAAGAAAGAAAAAAAGAAAGAAGGAAGAAAGAAAGAAGGAAAGAAAAAAGGAAGAAAGAAAAAAGGAAAGAAAGAAAGAAGGAAGGAAAGAAAAAAGAAAGGAAGAAAAATAAAGAAGAAGGAAAGAAAAAAGAAAGGAAGGAAGGGGAAGGAGGGAGGGAGGGAGGGAAGAAAGAAAAAAGGAAGGAAGGAAGGGAGGAAGGAAGGAAGGAAAGAAAAAAGAAAGAAAAAGAGAGGAAAGGAAGAAAAAAGAAGGAAGAAGGAAGAAAGAAAGAAGGAAAGAAAGAAGAAAGAAAGAAAGAAAAAGGAAGAAGGAAGGAAAGAAAAAAGAAAGGAAGGAAGGAAGGAAGGAAGGTGGGGAAGGGCCCGTCCACCTTGCCTAACCACTGGGTGCTATGGCCACTTCCACTCGGGAGCCGCAAAATGGCCGCTGCAGATTGGGCACAACAAACCAGGTTGACGACGACAAAGCCTAGAATTGAGGTTTAAATTTCAGTCCTGGGCTTGCCAAACTCCAGCACTAAGAGATGGACAAATCTGTCCAGTGGATGGGGTTTCCCTCGCACCCCATCCTGAAATGCGGGTTGTCCTCGACTTACGGCTGCCATGGGGCCCAAAATTTCTGTCGCTAAGCGAGACTGTGGTGAAGGGAGTCTCGTCCCATTTAACGACCCTCATTAAGGAAATCACTGCAGTTAGTAACATGTTGGTTTAGGGCAGGGGTCTCCAATCTTGGCCACTTTTAAGACTTGTGGACTTCAACTCCCAGAATTCCATGCTGCCTGGGGGGATTCTGGGAGTTGAAGTCCACAGATCTTAAGGTGACCAAGGTTGGAGACCCCTTGTTTAGGGAATGTGGCTTCCCCACTGACTTTGCTTGTCAAAAAGGGGAATCAGGTGAGCCCCCTCCCCCCCCCAGATCACTGCAACCGTCGTAAGTATGAGACACTGGCCAAGCATCCAAATTTGGATCATGCGACTAGAGAGATACAGGTAGGCCTTGACGTATGACCACAAACTGACACATACATACACACCCAAATTTCTGTTGCTAAGTGAGAATTTTTTAAAGTGAGTTTTGCTCCATTTTACGACGGTTGTTAAATGAATCCGCCTTCCCCGCCCCGTTGACTTCGCTTGTCAGAAGGTCGCTGCGACCGTCATAAAGGTGAGTCAGTGGTCAAGTGTCCGAATTTTGATCATGTGACCCTGGGGATGCTGCAACGGTCGTAACTGTGAAAATTGGTCGCTTTTTCCGGTGCTGTTGTAACTTTGAATGTCACTAAATGAACTGTTGAGGATTACCCGTATTTGTAATTTGCTTTTCCCTGCTCTCTTCCCCTCGCTCTTCTAAAGATTGAATGTGTTCTTCTGTGCTAAAAACATCTGTACAAGCCAGTTTTAGGCAAATTCTGATTTTGACTCTGAAATATGCAATCGGGGACCGCTGATTTAATTAGATATCCTGAGATGTCTGCAAGGACCAAACTTGCTCTAGAGAGAAAGAGAAAGAAAGAGAGAGAGAAAGAGAGGGGGGCAGATATAGATAGATAGGAACATCGAAAAAGAGAGAAAGACAGAGAAAGGGAAGAGAGACAAAGAAAGAGAGAGAAAAAGAGACAGATAGAGAGAAAAAGAGAGAAAGGAACATAGAGATAGAGAGAAAAAGAGAGGGAAAGAGAAGAACATAGAAAGAAAGAAATAGAGGAAAAGAGAGAGGAACATAGAAAGAGAAAGAAAAAAGAGAAAGAGAGAGGAACATAGAAAGAGAGAGAAAGAAAGAATAAGAGGGAGAGGAACATAAAAAAGAGGAAAGAGACAGAGAAAGGGAAGAGAGACAAAGAAAGAGAGAAAGAAAGAGAGGGACAGAGAGACAAAGAGAGAAAGAGAAAGGAACATAGAAAGAGATAGAGAGATAGAGAGAAAAAAGAGAGGAAAGAGAAGAACATAGGAAAGAAAGAAAAAGAGGAAAAGAGAGAGGAACATAGAAAGAGAAAGGAACATAGAGAGGGAAAGAAAGAATAAGAGGGAGAGGAACATAAAAAAGAGAGAAAGAAAGAGACAGAGAAAGGGAAGAGAGACAGAGAAAGAGAGAGAGAAAGAGAGAAAGAGAAAGGAACATAGAAAGAGACAGATAGAGAGAAAAAGAGAGGGAAAGAGAAGAACATAAAAAGAGAAATAGAGGAAAAGAGAGGAAAAGAGAGAGGAACATAGAGAGAGAAAGAAAGAATATGAGGGAGAGGAACATAAAAAAGAGGGAAAGAGAAAGGGAAGAGAGACAAAGAAAGGGAGAGAAAGAGAGGGACAGAGAGAGAGAGAGAAAGAGAGAGGAACATAGAAAGAGACAGAGAGATAGAGAGAAAAATTGAGGGAAAGAGAAGAACATAAAAAGAGAAA